AATTTTAAAAACATTATAAAAGAGAATGAAAAGATTTGTGATCAGGATCCTCTCTTGAATTTCAGAACAGATGATACGATTACAGCACACTCACTCGATGATCCGACAAAAACCTCAACGGACCACGACCTGAGGCCTAAGAGGGAAGCTAGGAACATCGAGAAGGGGGTAGAGTCTATGAAAAACTCACAAATACCCCCGCAGAGTGAGTCCAACACTGTTTTTCAACCATCACGTCTTGGAAACATTGGCAAGCATCTCTCTCCTTGTGTAAGGTATGGAATAGCAGGAACCCAACGAACCTTTCCAAACTCAGTCAAGTGTCAACCTACCAAATCAATAATCGACGCAGCAACAACTTCATGGAATGTGTCAACAAGATTAGCAGTTGAAGCCTCAAAAGGCAAGTCTGAGAAGACTGCAGCTGAATTGGTGCCTGATTGTTATCACGAGTACCTTGGTATGTTTGAAAAAGCGAACTCCAATGTTTTACCGCCGCATCGCCCATACGACTTTTGAGTGGACTTGGTTCCAGGAGCAACTCCACAGGCTGGACGCATTATACCTCTATCACCAAAGGAAACTGAAGTTCTGAACGAAATGTTAGATAAAGGCTTGGCCAATGGAACTCTGCGGCGAACAACGTCACCTTGGGAAGCCCCTGTCTTGTTCACGGGAAAAAAGGACGGTAATCTACGACCTTGCTTTGATTATCGTAAATTAAATGCTTTAACGGTAAAAAATAAGTACCCTCTCCCATTAACCATGGAGCTGGTGGACAGTTTACTCAATGCTGATGAATTCACAAGTCTTGATATGAGGAATGGCTATAATAACCTAAGAGTGAGGGAAGGAGACAAGGCAAAACTAGCGTTTACGTGCAAGTCAGGCCAGTTCGAACCTTTAACAATGCCTTTTGGCCCCACTGGAGCTCCTGGATTTTTTCAGTTCTTCATCCAAGATATCTTGAAAGCGCACATTGGAATTGATGTTGCAGCCTACCAGGACGACATTTTGATATACACAAAACCAGGAGTCGACCACAAGAAGGTTGTGAAGGAAGTGTTGAACATACTCAGAGAACAAAACCTGTGGCTAAAGCCGGAGAAATGTCGATTTTCACAAAAAGAAGTTTCATATTTAGGACTCATTATATCCCGAAATCAGATCAAGATGGACCAAACGAAAGTTAAGGGGGTGAAAGAATGGCCAGCACCAAAGAATCTCTCAGAGGTGCTGACATTCTCAGGCTTTTCAAATTTCTATCGACGCTTCATACATCACTTCTCAAAAATAGCCCGCCCACTTCATGAACTCTCAAAAGACAATGTAAAATTTGAGTGGACCAAGGAGTGCAACGATGCGTTCAAGAGCCTAAAAGAATCTTTCACGACAGCGCCAATACTGACAATTGCGAACCCTTATAAGCCATTTGTCTTGGAATGCGATTGCTCAGACTTTGCTCTAGGAGCAGTCTTGTCGCAAGTATCTGAAGAGGACAACGAACTTCATCCAGTGGCCTTTCTATCACGTTCACTGATCAAAGCCGAAAGAAACTATGAAGTTTTCAATAAAGAACTACTAGCGGTCATATCATCATTCAAAGAATGGAGACATTACCTTGAAGGTAATCCAAACAGATTGAATGTCATCGTATACACAGATCATAAGAATCTGGAATCCTTGATGACGACCAAGGAATTAACTCAACGCCAGGCACGTTGGGCCGAAATCCTTGGAAGCTTCGACTTCGAAATCCACTTTTGACCGGGAAAACAGTTGACCAAGCCAGATGCGTTATCGAGACGACCGGACCTGAAGCCTGATGCTGGTGATAAATTATCCTTTGGTCGTCTTCTGAAGCCCGAAAATTTACCGCAGGACACCTTCATTGATAGCTTAGACTTTATAGAAGATTGGATCCTGGATGATATTTGGACTGATTATGAAGTAAATGCGTTGGAAACCTCAGTTGGAATGTGGACTGATGAGGAAATCATTACAGAAATCAGAAGAGTGTTGGTAGAAGACAACAAAATCAAAGAATTAATGCAGATATGTCGAGAGGCACCTAAGTCAAAATTGGTGACTAACTTTTCAATAGCTGACGAGGTTTTATATTACAAAAACAAAGTTGTAGTACCAGACAACAACAACATCAAGCTCCGAATTCTCGAATCACGTCACGACAGCAGGCTAGCAGGTCACCCGGGCAGAATGAGGACCCTAATGCTGGTAAAAAGACAATTCCATTGGAATTTAATGAAGACATACATCAACAAGTACGTTGATGGATGTCAGTCATGCCAACAAGTGAAATCAAGAACTAGTCGGCCATATGGCAGTCTTCAACCGTTACCAATTCCGCAAGGCCCGTGGTTGGATATATGTTATGATATGATAACGGACCTTCCAGATTCCGAAGGACACGACAGCATTCTGACAGTTGTTGATAGGTTCAGCAAAATGGCTCATTTTGTTCCTTTTCGAAAGGACATGAACTCCGAGGATTTAGCTAAGTTGATGCTACACAACGTTTGGAAATTCCATGGAACTCCTAGAACTATCACATCTGATAGAGGGAACATATTTATCTCAAGGCTGACAAAAGAGATGAATAGGTTGTTAGGAATCAAAACCCAGTCATCGACAGCGTACCATCCGCAGACCGACGGACAATTGGAGATCACAAATAAATCAGTCGAACAATATATACGACACTTTGTATTGTATAAGCAAGATGATTGGAAGGATTTACTGCCTTTAGCAGAATTCTCTTACAATAACAACTTTCATGTCTCCATCGGAATGTCACCATTTAAGGCTAACTACGGCTTTGATGTGAGTTTGACAGGAACTCCAAGCGGCGAACAATGCTTACCGGCTAATGAAGAGCGAATCAAAGTGATTAAAGAAGTTCAAGATGAATTAAGAATAGTGATGGGGGATGCTCAGACATCGATGAAGGAGCAGTTTGATAGAAAAGTGCAAGAAACTCCAGTGTGGGAAAAAGGGGAGGAAGTGTGGCTTAACAGTAGACACATAAGTACTACTAGACCTACCGCTAAGTTCTCTCATTGATGGCTAGGACCTTATAAGATTATCAACAGAATTTCTACTAACGCATACAAATTACTGCTGCCTAAAGAAATGAAAGAAATCCATCCGGTGTTCCACGTCAACCTTCTCAGAAAGTTCAACAAGAGTGAAATCACAGGTCAAACCATCAAGGAATTACCTCCAATAAATTTAGAAGGTCACAATGAATATGAAGTAGAAGAAATCTTAAATAAACGAAAATTAAGGAAGAGAATTGAATACTTAGTTAGCTGGAAAGGCTACGGACCAAATCATGATTCATGGGAACCAGAAGAAAACTTATTTAATGCAAAAGAGTTGGTAAATGAATTCAATAGCAAATATCCTCAAGCTGAAAGAAAGTACTTCAGGACACGGAGAAGATGAAAGAGAGGGTGAGCTTTTTTCCCACTGGGTTTTTAATGCCAACCCGTGGAAAGATACCTCATTCGTCAAAAGGGGGTGGAGGTATAGAGGGGGAATGGTGTTATGGTCTAACTAATAGCATATGCTTATACACATACTTGTACCATGTAGCTATTAGAGAGTGCTTGTCCGCTCAGAGCTTTTACTCCTTACATTGCAATCTAGTCATACTAGCAACAAGCCCTTCATAGCTCTATCCTTTCCTCTGGTCCTAACACAGGATTTGATCAATTCATTAGCAAATAGGCTCATCCTGACCCTCAGCCTTCAGTCTTACATTTTTGGCTCCCACATCCTCTTTTCAGCCTGATTATGGTGAGTTTGACTCTTTCTAAAAAACTTTGAACCCAAAGAAATCTCAACCAGCCATCTCTTTTTCTTCCACATCAACAATCAAACACAAAAAAGGTGGTTCTCGACTCTTTCTCTCTGATCAAAATGTGTGCTTTCAATATGTAACTATCAAGATTGAATACAATATGCTTGGCTATCAATTCAGTTGATTCAGGTTCATTGCCTACTACTCTTTTGAGGTGCATGCTGAACATGCTGAGAGGCACCTGAATCATTTGAGGATTGTCCAGCGCAATGTTTGGAATGGAATGCCAGGAGAATGACCCAGATTTGCATAGTGGTAAGCGCTTGTGCAAGATGACATGAGCTGCTTGTTTTTGTATCTGCTTGCCATGACTTTTTCTAACTTCAAGACCAGTCTGAACCCCTTTTTGTTGGCAGAGAGCTGTCTGAGCCACCTCATTTGAAGCCTGCAGGCTCAAAGCCCAAGGGTTGATCAATTTCAATTCAATTCTTTGGTTGTTGGATCCTCATAGATCAGCAAGCTCTTTCAGTTTATGATCTGAAGTTGGAGTCATTTTACTATCGTAATAATCAGCTGCTTCTTCAATAGCATCATTCCATCTCTCCCACCCTTTATTGATACCTTTGAGCCTCTCTTTAGATTTGGTGACTGGATTCATTCAAGTATTTATGGAAGAATGTTCCAGTTGCATTTCCTCTTCATAGATCTTGTCCATTGACTCATTTTAATGAAATGATCCTTCTTTGAGGTTTGGGAAAACTTTAACCTCAGTGTGAGGGCTAGATGGTAATATTGGAGTGAGATTGGTTGGTGCAAAATCATTTGATTGTTTTTCCGCTGGTCTGCGTATGAAATCTGAAAACTCTTGAATAACTGGAATTGAATGTTGACTTTGGCATGGGCCTTCATAATTTTGGCTGAGGGGGGCATTGAGTCAATATAATAAAATGAACATTGAAGTTGACAAGAAGAAAGATTCATAGCGATAAGAACACCAAGTTTTGAGATTTGGCCCCGGTGTCAAATTTCAATATTCGGGGCACAACCCCGTTCTACATTTCCTTATTTGCAGCGATGAAGCATCTCCAAGCACATAAATATCGATATTCCAGATTGACGATACGAACTTCTTCAATAAGATAAGATCGATCGCGTTCCGAGAATCAGAAATCAAGAGATGTCGAATCGTAAACTTGGTAAACCACTTTCCAACTTCAAATACTTCATCCTCCTTTAAACTACATTTTTAAATAATCAAAAGTCTGTCATTCATATCTTTTTTCGCAACAATTCATCAGATTCGGAAACTAATAAACTATTTTTTTGATTTGTTTTTCTGTTCATTTTGATTCTTGTTTAATAAAGTATTTGTGACTGGTAATAAGAATAAATTAAGAGAAGTCCAAAAAATCTTAAGTGATGAAAATCTAACTAGTTCTAAAATCGAAGTCACTTCCATGGATTTAGATGGTATATTTACAAATCATCAGTCATTAACTCATCATTCAAAGGGTTACCTGCCTAAGATCGTTTCTTTGTTTCTTTCGTAGTTCCTGAAGTGCAAGGTTCAACCCAAGATGTAGCAAGAGAAAAAGTCAAAGCAGCAGCTTTAGCCGTCAATGGACCATGTATGACCGAGGTTAGTCATCCTCTATGTGATTCTCTATCACTCATGAAGCTTGTTTTTTCGCTAACTTGAGTTCCATCGGAAAGGATACAGCACTTTGTTTTAAAGCAATGGGAGGTTTACCAGGTTTGTATTTTCATTTTTTTGAACCTTTAGGTGTGATATTGATAAAGAGTTACGAAATTTTGATGGATCTCTTTTAGGGCCTTACATCAAATGTCAGTAGATTCATCATTCTTGAAAAATATCACCTTCTGATGGTAGATCACTTCTTGACTATCAGGGTTCCTCAAATCATTGGGATTGGAAGGTGAATAATCTTTGGCTTCCTTTTCAATCATTCATGAGTCTATTGAGATTTTGTTTACGACCTGAAAGCCTGATTGTTTATTCAAACTTTCTGACCCCGATATGAATATGATCAATACAATCACAAATCAAATCAAAACTTACATTCGTAGGGTTAAACAAAATGCTCTCAGGATTCGAAAATAAAGAAGCCACAGCAATTTGTACATTTGCATATTGTGAAGGACCAGGAAAAGAAGTGATCTTATTTGAAGGTATAACAGAAGGTCAAATTGTTTTACCTAGAGGTCCGACTGATTTCGGATGGGATCCGATCTTTGAAGTCAAAGGCACAGGTCTAACGTTAGATATCTCTTCATCATTCTTTCATATCGTTTATTAACTAATTCTAATCAACCTTCATTCTTCAATTATGTAAAATCTAGTTATGCAGAGATGGGGGGAGATCAGAAGAATACTCTGTCTCATCGCTCTAAAGCTTTACAAAAGCTCTCTCAACATTTCGCATGATTAATTACATTTTGATCATCACCAATCTTGAAAACTCCACTCAAAATCAAGAGCTAAGTGCAAGGCTTTTGATCCCTCAGATACCATTTGATATCTGTATTGGAGATTTAGTGATGAACAGATTCAGTTTCTGGTGATAAATCTCACCAAATATTCTGTAACAGTACATTATGCAATGTGAACTGTAATGATGGATTGCAATTTCTCTGATCTTGAAAAACAATTTCAGCAAACATGCTTTGTAGGTGAGATTATCAAAAGGCAAATGAGCAAAAAACCATGCTGTTGAATCCCAATGACATCAGAACATTCCACCTTCAATGAACCCCAATGATCTATTGCTTTTTTACCTCTATCCTTGAAAATGATTATGGTGTGGTGTTGATGATCAAAGGAGAAAGAAATAGACAATGATGGATGGGAGGCAGATAGAAATAGAGGCTTGAGATGCAGCTAAAGGCCATCTCTCAATCTTGTCAATCAGATACTGACATTAGAAATTTGAACTGGACACCAATCAGATGTTGATTGTATGGTCAAGTTTGGACTGAGAGACAATGTGGCCACATGTAACTTTGTTGTTGTGAATCTTGGCCACATGGTATCTTGTGGCAGTGTCCAAACGGGCCCTTGTCCAAAAAGGACAATCAAATGGCGGTTTCTGATCATCAAAACATCTTACAATTCTTTTTGAAAACAAAACAAAACAAAAAACTACTTCTTCACACAAAGTGAAACAATTTTTTATCAACATAAAAAGATTCAATTTAAAATTCAAACACATAGTTGCACAGAAAAAAATCAATAATTCAATCAATCACACAAAAAGAAAAAACTCTGCTCAAGATCTAACTTATAAAGTACTTCATCTACATTCTCCTTATCAAGCAAACCACTCCACACAAAAACTCCAAAATGTATTTACTCATCAACGTTGCCTAACTGTAGACAGAATAGGTACAAAAGTCCTGAGTGGTGCCATTTGTTCATCTTCACGATACTTGGCCAGGATCCTAGCTCGTGTACCAGGCTTTTGTATTGTTCGATCCACAGCTGGATACCCAGGTAAATCATCCTGAAACGGTTCCAGTTGTTCTAATGGTTGCTGCTTGAGTGCTGGTGGCGAAGGTCGTTTTAAAACATGTGTTTTGCTCACTTTTGATCTCGCATTTCGTGATTCCCTTTGAAGTTCAGGTGCCGCGGTTGATGGGATTTCAGATCTTAAGCGATGGACGCGGTCATTCATAATGATAGATGATTGCTTGAGAGCTACCGGTGAGCTCTGCCTTGAGTCATTGTTTACGTTTGATTTTAAGTTCTGCAACGCCAACCCAGGTTCAATAATCAATGGAGTATCAAGCCTGGGTCGAATCGAACGTTCTGTTCTGAGACTGTCATGCTTTGCCATCAGATCAGGTGCTATCACAGCGGGTGATCCTTGAGTCGTGTTGGTCCATGTATCCGTCGTGTCCAGTTCATCATGATCAGATGGGAGCGAACGCTTTTGTCCCGTTCCTGAGATTGAATTCTCGGAGATGACCAACACTTGTGTGTTTGTTGAGACATTCTGGGCGTTTCCAGGGGTTGTGACGGCTTGTGGTGCAGATGAAGTCGAAGGCGCCTTGGATTGTTGTGAGCCAGTGTTGATAAGCTGGTTTATGGGGAATCCGGTCCGCAATGCACGGGCGAGTGAGCTAGCAGGTAAAGGGGACGTCGGTTTTGTTCTAGTGTCCGGTCGATATGAAGAGTCAACACTAGTCACTGCAATACCTAGAGATGGACGCTGAGCCGGATTTGTGATTTTTGGTGCCCCACCCATTCCATTTGGGTTGGCCATGGTAGGCCGTAGAGCCCACAGGCCATCTACAGCGCCAGTTATGGGATATGCCAATACTTTGATATGATGGATAATCAGATCCTTATTGGTTACATTTAGCTTGGTAAAAGTATTGAATAAAACTGGCAAAGGCTGAGGGCCACGATTGAACATTGCTTGTAGCATCTTTGCCATTTTGGGGTCTAATGTAGAGGCCAGTGGTGTGGTGGATCTCGGATCAGATGTCTGCGTGCTTGTATTCGAGCTCTGTTTAGTAACCGGGAGCGGTTTCAAATGCCTCAACGTTGGAGAAATGTGACTGTGCAGACCAGGAGTAGGTGGCAGGAGAGAAGGATCGCGAGAAGTTGAAGGTACCGGAACAGTTACAGGATCGTGTGAAACGTTGGGCAATGGGGTGGCTGACTGTGATGGTGTAGCCACCCCGGGAGGCGGAATATCCTTCTGAATGGGTGTGGGCTGTACACTATCTGCTGACTGACGAAAAGGTTCAAGGATGTTGTGGATAGCGTCCCCAAAGCCATAATCTTTAAGAAGGCTAACCATTTTATTTCGTTCTGAAAACGTAGCGCGACTGTATACAGATGCAAACTTGGTCTTCTGTTCCTCAGTGAACGTATGTCGGTTGGTTGGCGGGGGTAATAAAGTGATCGCCGGGTCGACTAACAAAGGTGTGGTGGACTCCTTGAGTGAAGACGTGTGGCGCTTTGCGGAAGCAGGTGGAGGTGGAGGATTTCTAGTACCAGTAGTTGAAGATGATGCCAAGGATGACCGGGTTTCCGTTGGAAATGGGAGATCGGGAAGCATAGTTGCCAATGGCTCTAGTGTCTGTCTAGTTTTGATCTCAGCCGTACGGGATGATGAAGCCAAAGCTGGGGCGTTGATAGTGGGAGATAGAGCAGGCGTGCAATTCTGTTGAGAATACCCGGTATCAAGTGCCGGTGGGGAAGGCGCAACGCACGTTGTGATGGTGGGCGTCTGCTGTCCAGAAGACTTAGTACTATCAACTTTCTTGTAAACACTGTCAATCCGCTGTGACCTCTCGGCTTCTCCTGGTGTGGGCCGTCCAAGAGAATCAGGGGTTGGACCAGTGGTTGGATGAGATCGTTTCACGGTTGACGGTGGAAGTGGCAGGACCGTAAGGACAGGAGGAGGATGCTGTGGCGGGAAGTGCGGCGAAGAAAATACCGGGATATAATTGGGAAAGCTGGCAACAGTTGGAGCTGGTATCGTGAGATGTTTGAATGACAAACGGTGCGTTGAGGATGAGGGATCAGGTATGTAAGGTGATACAAGAGAAATGCCAAACGGTGCGGGGATTAAACACCAATTCAGGTGCTCCGTCAATGCATCATCTATTAAACGAACAGCGGCGATCCAGTCTTCGACTTCAACTGACGACGCACCACAAGGTCTCACGACGTCGCCACATGAAGGTACAGAGGGTTGTGCAAGAGATAGAGTAGGTTTTTCTTTGGATGATTGGGCGGCAGATGGAGGACCGGTTTGTATTCGAGAGGAAGAGTCAGGCAGGGTAGACTGTCTCTTATCGACAGAGGGAGTTGTAGTCGAGGTGTCGTTGGGTGTTGTCCTGCCTACATTTGTCGGTTGCTTGCTTACTTTGGGAGATGTAACAGGTGCTTGCTGTGAAAGTGATTTGGCACTGATCATGGCAACCGAGGTCGTGCCTCTGACTTGTACAATGTTCGCGTCCGCTTGGCATGTTGTTTGCAATCCTTTGGAAGAGATCAAAGCAGTCGATGGAAGGGGGTCTGGATCATCAGCAGAGTCTTGAAGCGCAGGAGGTGAAACTGGCAATGATCGATTTGCAAGAGTGGCTTGTGGGCTCGATGGGCGTGAAACATGTGCGGGTTGCTCAGCCGCTCTTGAATGTGGAGAAAAACACGTCAGGTATTGCGCACCGCTGAGATAATAGTGAAGGTATTGCGAAGTACCTATTTGTGGTTGTTGATTGAGACACCGATGAATTTCGACTCTTCACAGATGCGGTCTGTCCCACCAACTGCCTGAGAGCTTTACACTTCCAAATACTATCGATTCCAGCGATAACAGGGCCCGTATCATCAAGAAGCAAGGTTCTCCAGCTCTCAAAAACATTTGCAAGTCGCTCTATAGCATCAGGACGTGTACTTGGTTTGATGATTTTCAGAATGGCCAGGCAAGCCTTGATGCCAGTGATTGGTAAGGGAGGACATCCTGACGGTGAATTCGCACAAATCCGACGGTACTTCTCGAGTAGGCCAATTTGTATTTGCTTATTCCGGGATTTGAGAGTGCTTCGAAGATGACCAAGGATCTCTGAGATACACACGGCATGATTAGTTTTGATCAGGTTCTGGATGGTGAGATAGGTGAGGGATGTTTTTACATACGGTCTTCTCTTTCAGCATCGAGGGTTGGAAATCCATAAGCTCGACCACTTTGACAAGCATAGGCTTCAGCAGCAACGAGTTGAGACGTGATTTGTGAAAGAGGTGTCCGATCGTTGATGGTGGTTGATGACATCGAGAGAATGAAACTGCTGAGGGTTAAAGAAAAATGTAGTTAAAGCCCTGAACCAATTTGCCTGTTTCAATACAGTCGGACGCGGTCCCGAGCCTCTCAAGATGATGTTGATTTGTTTAGATCTGATTGGATTGATCGACTAAACCGTGGGGAATTGAATAAGATAATGACTGTTGATAATGAGATGGAGAAGTAAAGAATCAAAACACGAGTGATAGTAATATTTCATCAGTCACTTCAGCTTCAATCCATTTACAGAAAGTATTGGTGATTTACCCACTAACAATGAACAAAGGTGAAGCCACTAAAGATTGAAGCTCAGGGAAATTAATCAAAGAGAACCTTTTGTGTAGAATCTAAGTGTCATCTAGTTCAGTTTGATATCTTATTGTATGTGCTTTGAGTTGAGAGTAACTTATTTCAACTGATTGAGAGAAAGTGTTTGTAGAATAAAGGGCTTAAGAAAGGTGGAGTTTAAGGAAATAAAAATGGTCAAAGGACTCTGAGTGATGATAAACTAAATATGGAAGTTCAATTGAAAAAAAAAGATAAAGTTTCCATTTCAAGTCATTCAGATTAATTAAATACAGTTACTGAATTGAATGTAAATTATACACATGTAAGCTGTATTTCAGTGTGGAATTGTCATCAACATTAACCTAACCCTGAACCACTTTTTCAGCAAACCTGTATTGTTAATCTCCATTGTAAATCCCCAATCTGGCTGATCTGTAATGAATTTGCATACAAGATTTGCTGTCCTGTGAAGCCAAAATGGAACAAAGTTGTTCTATCTTGGTTTGTTCCCTAAATTCATTGTACCTCTTTCTTGCTATCATGTCCAACCTGGAAAACACAATCTACCGCAAACGTTACACGTCAACAATTGACTAAGCCATAAAACATCAACCCAGATATGCAAATACTCAGAGCATCCACAGTGGTGGGCTCCAAATTGGGGCTCCAAATCAAGCAAATTCAAATTTGGTGGGGCCCCAAATCAATCCGGATGCAGTCGTTTGGACTTCAAAAGTGTAGATTCTATGTGTTTACACACACTTTGAGATTGGTGCGCGTGGGCTTACATGTGTGAGGTATGGGATTGAGCAAGTGCGGAAATGTGGAGCCCGGCTTTTTGTTGCCAAATTTGAAGCCGGCTACAAAAAAATTTGGCGATGGGGACTGCCATTGCACCAAAAAATCGGGGCTCAGTCACCAAATTTGGCGATAGCCCCAATTTGGAGCCCACCACTGTGGATGCTCTCATAACCTCATACCAGCCCATCCCTGTACTGTGGGTAATTGCGGCTGTGGAGGGGACTTTTTCCATACCATTCACCCTTTCCTTGTGGCAGTCTCTCAACAACAAGTGCACACAGACTGCCTTGAGGCACAAAGGCGACTCATGTGCGCTTGTTGACAAGGAAACACCACACAGACATGGTATTTACTGCATTCTCTTGTCAACCAAGCCTTATAGCATCCACAGCTGTGCCATGAATTTGTATTGCACGGAGGTTTGCACAGATCATTTAGGGAAGTGTTTGAAATATGAAATTTGAACAATGTACAGCTGTGTTTCCCTACAGTACGGCTGGTTGCATAAATGGGGAGGTGTGTTATGGGTTAGTTGATCATCAAGGGATATGATTTGCACAGAGTCCGGTCATACAAGTGGGAGTTTATGGGAGAAGCAAGATACATATGAATTTAGGGAGCAAGCAGGAGCAAGCCCAAATAGAATGGATTTTGTCTATTTTGCCTTGCACGGAGGCAATTTCCTTGCGTGAAAATTTAGGGCATTGGCTGTGGATGATTTTGCCCTAAATTGCTGTACAACAGAGTTCACACCACATGGCTGTGGATGCATATAAGACACAGCTGGGGATAACTTAAGTAATTAGTATGTGACTACACACACAAGCAGCTGAATAAGTACTTTGGTGAATCCTCAACATAATAAAAGATGGAGGTGCTATTAATAGTATACAACAGGGCCAGCCTCATGCCACAACCCACTGTCAGTCTATGGCTGAGGCCTCCCTTCACCAGCTGCGCACAAAACCAAGAACCTAATTACATACACAATGTGGTGTGTTACATATGTAGTTCTGTATGTAATATATGTGATGCATGTTTTACATGTGTATGCATGTATGTAGCTTACCATGTGTGTGGTTGTACATGTGCTTTGCTATATGTGTGCATATGAATATAGGGTATATAGGGTATATAGTCTATGTGATGGAGTGGTGTATGTAATGTATGTAATGTATGTTGTGTGTGTAATGTATGTTGTGTATGTGGAGTAGAGTTGTGTTTGTAGCATACAATTACTGACATAGTATATCTTTTACATGTGTATTATGTATGTAATGTGTGGCATAGGGTACCAGGACCCTGGAATGCCCAAACTCAGGTTGTGAGCACCCTGACATATGTCATTTCACAATTTGTGTGCCTAGGTGCCACTTGGCACACCGGGTGTGTTTTTTTAGAAAAAAATTACATAAAATTATGGTACTCAAAGTTGCATAGTTACATGTATATAGTTTTTGTATATAGTTTTTAATTTTTTGTGGTGGGGAAAAAAAAGTATACAGTCAATCTAAAATACTTTGTCCGGTCGAGTTTTGTAAAATAAAAATCACAGCCAATACAGGCTAAGTTATAAGCATAGCCTTCAATCGAGATTCACCTATCTCAATTGAATTTGGGCTGTTTACCACAGCTCACCACTTCTTCCATACCCTCGATCCCACCCAGATTATACCCTCGATCCCACCACAACATACCAACGACAATTCCAAGTCCACCATGGGCCACCGAGCCACCAAAAAAGAAGTTCTCTTAGAAGCTGAGAAGAAGAGACGTAATGAATTGTAAGTTCCCAAAACCAGTGATCTTGTTTCTTTTCGATAACGTTTCACTCACCAATTGTTTTTCAGCGCGATACGACAAGCAAGACAAGCTGGACCGGAGGGGCTTAGCCCTGAGCGTGACAGAGAAGGTACCCCTGTCCTCTTTCATAAGTAAGTTCATCTCTTGTTTCCTTTCATCAAACTCAAGTTGTTCGATTGCTGATGACCTCTGCTTTGTAATTGCAGAGACGGCCACCATTATGAAAACGTTATGTGCGGCCCCCGTCAATATCGAGACTCAGAGCCGGTTCACTTGGATCCGCGCCGTGATCCAGGCTTCCGCAACTTCCCGTGTCAACTTCGTGCTCCAGGTCAGTTTTTTCCTCTCTTTCATTCCTCTTTGCTTCTTCCTTTTTCTTTACTCGTTTCGTTCAAATCAATCACTTTCCTCGCTGATCTTATTTTTTATTAATTTCTTCGAATCGTTTGCTTCCAGCCCCACAACCTGCTCAAGATCCACAAGTCAGTCAGGCTCACCGGGACCCGATGTTCAACGCCCAAGTCATCCAAGTTGAACCTCAAGCTGCAATTAATCCACATCATGGTAAGTTTTGGATATCTCATCCAAAACTCAACTTAGAAATTCAACTGACGTGATTATGACTTGGTCAGGACCACACCTTGAGATTGACCTAACTCGATCGACACCACCACCGGCCCAAGTCCCTGCAGCAGCTCGTCAACCTCAAGAACTTGCAATTGTGGCTAAACCAAGCCACGTGAAGTTGTGGTTCCAGGTGTACGCTCCAATTACGAAGACCAAGGCGGATAAACAATCTGGAGCCGCCCAGAAGTACATCGATTTATCGCCAAAAGAACCTTTCAATACCCTCATCCAGATCCACGGTGCCGAACTCGTGGATATCCAAGCAAAGGTCTTTGATGCCTGTGATACCTACAAGACTGTATGCGGATCGATCCTCAAGATAGCCAACGAAGAAGGTAAGATGGTCTTCAAGGGCTACGTTGCTGGCCGTGGAGATTTCCTCAAGTCGGCCTTGAAGCCTATCACCTCGGAGGCAATCCTTGATCATTTCAAGGCAACCATGTTGGAGAATAAAGGTAAAGAAGTTGGGTTTCGACTGATCATGGACAACCCAAAGTGTCAGCTTACGTCTCAAACTGGGTGAGATTGAAGACTAAGTTGAATGATGTATGACTCACAAAATGTATACTTCAACGCTTATATGCTGTGTTGATCGTTTATTTTTCGGTTCTTCGCGAGAGAGTGTTCAATTGTAGTTGGGACAATTGATTTTAAAGGTACGGTGTTGAGCACCGGTCTACCTTGATACTAATCTTAATGATATTCTTGTTAAGATTGTCTTCCAAAGTGAGATACAAAGATTCGTATAACTGGCTTTAGGTTACACTTGAGTGTATGTTGATAAGGTGACTTATCAAATAGAGTAAAAAGATGAAGAAATTAGTCAACTAGACAACACTAGACGATCTTTAAATCCTTCGGGGGTTTTAAACGAAACTTTCAAAAAAGATACGGTAAGAAAGAAATTTCACACTACAAACGATGAAAGTATTTTCAAAGAGTATAAGTGCAAAAGAGGATTTGGTTCAGATACTAGTTAAAAGGGAAAAGGCTGGTTTTGATAGAGGATATCAAAAGAAGGATTTTTTTGAGTAATAACTAGTGAATTCTAAGCTGGTTAAAAAGGTTTGGGATAAACAGATATTGGGTTTTGTATAAGTGATAACGGGTGATTCTAAAACTCTTCCTTTGTTGGTTCGAGCATTCCCTTATATATCTGGGGTTTTGCCTCGGTCAGGGTTTCTAGTAGTTGAACCTGAATTAGTCCTACTTGGTTGGTCTTGGTCGAAATGGATAAATGGTTCCTGTCGTCTTGGAATCGATCAGGGTCCTTGGTTCTTTTACAGACCCTGGTCAAATTGGAGATAATGAAATTTAACCATCCAGTTATTTACTCGATACCTGGATGGTAGTATTTTTTATATTCTTAGAAGTTTTACACTCTTGAAACTAGAGTGATAGAGGTGTAATTGATTATTAGTTTTTTATGTTATTAAGTATGTGTTTTTCTGTTAACACGTAAGAATATTTGCGCTGCGAATATTTCTACGGTTGACACAAAGACTGTAAACCGTCTCAAATCAAAGGTACGTTGGATTTCTAATCTTTGACTTTGTTTATGGTTTTGAAAGCTGATTCATTTGTCTTTCTGGGCTGATCAGGAGGATACCTTTGATTGAGTCATCCGAGACAATCATCCGGACACCTTGGCTCCTGCCTGAAATGACAAGTTGGACATGTTAGTAAGTCTATCTCTCGTCTCTGTTCCAGCCAACATTGTACTCATTACCTCTTTTTTTCACAGGGAATCAACGTTAATCCAAGCTTTCAGGAAATCCGAGTGAAGCTCATGAGAGACTTTGGGTGTGTCTCAATCGGAGGCCGTGAGTGCATGGGGATGATTAATCCGGAAAATAGCAATGAGGTGGTGCACTTGTCCCATGCAATGATGGACACTTGGGCAAACGACATTGTAAG